TATAAGAAATGAAGAAATATATTGAATAATAAGAAAGTACAGTAAAAAACTCCATCACATGGCATATAGCCTAACGCATGAGAGTCTAAAAAGCAGAAACAGAAGCATAACCTACAGTCTAGTAACAGATTTAAACTATGCCCATGACGAATATAGACAATTAAGTAAAGAGAGCCATCTGCAACTAGAGATTGCAATTGCTGTATGGGCTAAATAGGGCTACTAATGTAGAAAGGAAGGTCCCTATGAGCATTGGAAGCTACTGGATGTCCTCACCTAATTAACCAGCTTCTCGGGAAGAGCAAAGGATTTTGGCAACAAATAGTCCCCAAACTATAGGTCGCCATCCAAGCTATTCTTAAAAAATAATCAGCAAGATGAGGGGTATGGTCCTCCTCTAAGCAGTCGTCAGGTATTGTCTGTAAGTGCACCCAAAAATGTGCCCATCTGTTCCAATCCTCAACAATCCCTGGCTACCATAGGTTAATAAGGGATCTAGAGCCCCTTTACCAGCTTTTAAGTCGTAGAAGTTTAAGGCCTCTACAAAGACTTCCATTTGTTTATATGGTCGATGGTTCCCTCCTGCCTTTTCCGATTGCCACAGAATTTCATTGAAATCACCTAAGCACAGCCACGGTTGAGAAGAGGTAGCCTTGAATGATTTTAATAGGGTCCATGATTCCTCTTTTCGGGCAACCTTCGGACGTCCATAGAACCCTGTGAGTCTCCATTCACCCCCACTCGGATCAACAATTTCCACATCTATGTGAGATTGGGAGAAAGTGGAAATAGTTAGGTTAAAATCGTCACGCCAGAGCATAGCGAGGCCGCCCCCCCTTCCTACACAATCAACAACAAAACACTGATCAAAACCTAGATCTGGGCGAATCAAAGTCATCTCCACCGCTGTGTGCTTTGTTTCAGAAAGGAAGATGATGCTGGGCTTATGTTGGAAATAGAGTTTTCTCAACTCTGAAATCGTAGAAGTTTATCCAAGACCTCGACAGTTCCAGGCCAAAATACGAGTCTGATCCATGGAATGGAGAGGCAGAAGGCAACAAGGAAAAAGAAGGAGGAGGGAGGCCTTGCAAAAGTAAGGAGGGGCACCGAGGTGAGAGGCGCGCGTCGGAGAAGGAGAACCCTAGCAGCGACGGCGAGAGAAGATTTTCGAACCCCATAATTCTTTTATTGTTGAATGTTAAGGCTAATTAATTAAGCATTTTTTTTAGCAGATTCCTTTTCCTTCTCCATGCGCTCGAAGATGCTTCCGTCGTAGACAGCTTTGATTGTTTCTTTCTGCAGCAGACCATTCTTCTCCTCACAGAAAACATACAAGATTTTCCATTCTGTAAAGCCAGCTAGCCTTGCATGCCCAAGTTTTTCAATTTCAGTTCGCACAAACTTGTTTATGAAGAAAGAAAAAGAAAACCAAGCACTAACCATCCTAAGAAATCCTTTGGTTCCCTATTACAGTCCAAAATAAAAAAAATTAAAAAAAAAAACAAAATCTTATTTATAGATAAGATTTCTTATTGTTATATTGATGACTCTTGTATTATTTGTAAGGGAAATGATATATACACATTGCAAAGTTACATATTTCATTATACATTTGATAATTTCCGTTATTTGTATTGTTAAAACTAACGGTTTTCATTACTCATGTCATTAAAATTAACAATTTTCG